CCTTATCAATTTCATCATTGACCAATCATAATCAAATAGACGTGAGTAACTTGTTCCACAATGAACAGTAACTACCTTCTATTAGTATAATTTTTCTACCGACAACTTTATCCGTCAGATAGCTATCTGGAGAATAATATCACATTGAAAAACCGGAATCACTTTATTTGAAAGATTATCCGCCAGATAAATTTATCCGATGGATACGTATCTAGCGAATAACTGGATGAATGAAAACCGGGCCTAAGAAAAATATATATATATATATATATCATATATAATATTATATGATAACGTTACTCACAATGTAAATTAGTGTTTCATATTAAATTAATTGTATTTATAATTAATAAGTGTAATCTCATTTTTGCAAAGCGTAATCTTATAATTGCTGGCCTTCCATTGACCCTTCGAATTAAAATATCCAACCACCACTACTGATCCCCGTTAGCCTTAGATTTTAACTCAAATAATATCAATGTTCAAATGTCGGATGGTTTAGCTTGACCCCAAATTTGGATGTTTTAAGTATGATCAAACAGAGGTTATAATGTTTTTTTATGAGTATTCTATTTTTAAGGCCATTTGAATTTTAAAATTGCATGGAGAAAGTTTTGGCATGAGGTACAATGTTTCCTTTTTGGTAAAATCTTTTTAAGAGAATACTTTTAAAATTAGTTTAGAGTATACATTCGTAAGATGAAAATGAATAAAACGTCAAATATATGGAACCTAACATAAAGGCTGTAATATAAAAAATAAATAATAGATATAAAAGGGAAAACAACAAATTCCATTTAAATCTTGCATTGCTCCATTTTAGCCTACTAGGAAAAAAAGAAAATTCTTACAAAATACGAACTCTGATAATCATAATCAGTAAAGGTAATAATAACGAAATGTTCTGTTACTGCACTGCATAGTATGGGTTTGAAATTTGGTAAGAACTTTACTAAAAATATGAACATTCGGTTAACTTTTATACAATTAATTTCTTAGATTTTATGAAAGGATTCACAGGTAAAACAAAAAAAAACCTAATGAGTTTACCTTTTATTAAAAAAAAAAAGAGCTTTTATTACCTTTTTATTCTAGTGGACTTTACAACCGCTCAGGTATATATTATTATTAGGGCACGAAAATATAACTATTTGCTAACATTATTATAGGATACCACGAAATAACGTACCTAATTATATTACACTGTATAGGTTCATTATTTTGACGCGGCGCGGCAGCGGTACGGAGGGCTCTCGCATGCAATGTCAGAACGTAATATTGAGATCGCGAAAAAATGTTTATTTTTCACTCTAACATACGATTCTAATTCAAACAATACACCGCAACGATTACCTCGATTTGCATTCTGAAAAAACATTATTTTTTTCAACATCATATACGAGGGATCAATCGAGGCACATTTTAAAAATTGTATTTAGTTAATTAAATATTTAAGTTTGAAATTCTATATTTTTTTGAATTTTCAACAATATTTATTACAATTCAAATTACAAAAATTAAAAATGTGGCTCGATCGCTCGATTCCCTTGTACATATTACGAAGAATCTGTATATTTTTTCAGAATGAAAATCGTGATAATTGTCGACGTGTAGCGTTGGAATTAGAAACAGTAGTTTTTGTTAAAAAAAGACGTGGTGGTGAGGCCCTTTAAGTCGAATATATATTTGTGAGAGCAGGCCAGTATGTTGGTTTATTTGGATTTGTTTCTGATTAAATTTAAAAACATTTGCCCCCTGTTGTTGTTTTAAGTACAGTTTCATTTAGTACGTATCGCGTTTTAATCGCCTCCCAATAATAAAGGATTGATTTAGGGATTGTATGAAGGTTATAATTAATTTAGACTGATTGGGTAATCGAGTGAGCAGTATACTGCCGATATTGCAACAGGAATGTGATTTAATTTGATTAATATATTTATAGAATGTAGATAATGTTATTGGTACAGTAGCAGGTTATTTCATTAAACTCGTATTGAATTGCCCACATGTATGTTCGCAGTATGTCCATTATAGACAGTATCTTGGTATATGTTTAATTTTATCACTAAATGTTTAATGAATTACAGTTATTAACGCAATTATGAAACGAAGTATATAATGAAGTTCATTTGTTAGTTAAATTATACATTCGCGTTCTACATGAGTACTGATGGGGAAATAATGTATTGTTAACATTGTTCGGTTAACAATGCACCATCAGCTAATGACTTTAAATTATTATATTAGAATTATATGATAAGTCCGGCGTGTATAACAATCAGCTTAACCATAGATTCCTGGAATACTGATTAAATTTTAGGGCCTTTTAAGTAAACAGATACCTGTTTACCTACGCGCATACACATGTCAAATATTATTTTTCATATAAAATCACTACTTTTTTTTACGAAAAATAGTGCTCATAACTTCATTATGATGTTCCGACGTTAATTTTAAAAACAGATTCAGATTCTTCGTTATTTTTACTATGCTTTTACATTGTCACTTTTTATAATTCCATCTCGAAGTATTTCAATTTTAATTACTAATATGATCTATTTTTTCCTTTTTTTGTAAGTAAAAAAGGATTTTCAAAGCATAGATAATTAGATGTGATTTTTTTTCAAAATTGACATCGGAAAATATCACTGAGAGTAGTGATTGAAGTCGTAAGCTGTATTTTCAACAGAAAATTTATCATATTCCAGCTCTCTTAATGACTGTAGACAAAAGTTATGTAATGGGATTATTAGATTTTTCAATTAGGTTTTGAAGGAAGTTATTTATGAAAATATATATCTGCACTTGAGTGGGTTTGAAGATTTTTGAAAGTATTAGTTTTTGGAGATTAGGTAACATTAAAGTATAAGCGTAAACTGGTTTTTTGACCTTTCATGAGTGCTGTTAATAGGCTTACCTGTAGTAATATTTCGGTTGTTTTTCAATATTTGAAAATTGTTAAAATTAAGGATGTTGTTGTTTTTTTAGTTTTTGTAATTTTTTGAAAATTATATAATACAATAGTTGGCTGTATAGTTGTTTAGAAGTAGGTACATATCACAGGAATTTTGTGATTTTTCACACAGGTTTCAAAATTTACTCTCCACACAACGGGGTTTGCTATAGCAGTATTCGTATTAATGTATGTACCCATATTTCTGACAATTAATACACTAAGGAATAATATAAATTCTTAGAACTTCTACTTTTAAATGATTTGAATGATTTAAGTAAGAAAATATCTTTGTTAATTAAATTGAGTTCTAAATCAATTAAAAATAGTAGGAATGATAGTTTGGTAACTCTATGTAGTTCATTTGTAATAATCCTGGCTAAAAATGTCTTATTTATTATTAATTGAGTTGGACGAGTATTATTTTTGATGCCGAGTCAAGTCGGGTTTCAATTATTTCGAGTCGAGTCGAGTTCATGAATCGGAAAAAAGTCGAGTAGATAAAAAATGTTGAGAATTCAAGAAAAAGGTCGTGGTTTATATGTATAAAATGTCCTTATCATGATATTAAAATATCAGAACAATAACAATTTATTGTTATTAATTAAAACCATCAACCTCTCTAATATTTTCCATCGGAAATATTTGGATGTTATTTATAATTTTAAAATTTATTTTGCAATAAACTCGAATATTTGATTTAAGCCGAGTAAAATTTAGTCCTCCTATTTACTAGTAATAACGATTTTTTTGTTAAGTAGAGTCGAGTTTGACACGGTCATATCGCACGAATACCACGATCTCACCCGTTACACTCTTTGCCTTGGTATCGCCATTCGTTCGATTATCATTCGGGACGCCCGATAGATTAATCGAACCAGTTCGGAGTCGGCGATGGACCGCGACGTTTGTTTACTTTTAGCCGTCTTCGTGGCCTTTTTAACTGAACCGTGTATTTTGTTATTACAATCTGTCATTTGATATTTTGGTTTGTTTTTTTTTCTTGTTAATCTATTGCTGTTTTTTTGTAATTATTATTATTTTTAAAAATAATAATAGTGATTATTAATTCACATAGTATTTTCTTTATTTAACATACTGAACTATTTATTATTATAATCATCATCATTATTAATAACAATTTATTTTGTGGTGTTTATTATTATTATTATAAAATACATTTTTTTTTTTTTTAATTTTTGTTTATTTAAATTAATTTGTATGTGTATCGTGACAAATTCTCAAACTCGAAAAATTTTACGAAGTCATGTACTCGTCCAACTTTATTAATATTTAATAAAATTTTTCTTATAAAATGAGTAAATGTAGAAAACAACTTTTTTTTTTAATGCAGTTATGACTAAGATTTTGCTGCGTAAATTATGAATTTGATCCTATAGTTTTCCTAACGTTTTCAATAATTAAATTGTAATCTTTGATAATTGATTTAATACAAATCTATAGTGGTATTAGCGTTTTTTCGTCATTTCATCTGTTGTACTTATTTTCATTTCGTATTGGTTATCGTCTATTTGTTTTAAATGATTAAAACGATTTTCACTAACAAACTAAGAATTATTGTCAATTTACTTTTTGGTGAGGCGTTTGGCGGAGTGTGCCAATAATTATTACATCGTTTTTTTCATCAATAATATTTTCAAGTTAGTTTTTTATATTGGATTTAATTATGGCATGATGATTTATTATTTTAATTAGTGATACATGATTATTATTTATACCATAAGTATATCCATTTAGATAAATTGCGTGTGCTTTATCTGGACCCGAAAATCAAGGATTGGAGTGGGCAATTGAGCTTCGATTTTAATTTAAATAATTTAAATTTTAAAATTCAGAGGTCCGTTGCGAACTGTGGATTTCATGTGTATCTATATTAGATAAACATCAATTTAATGAAATAAAACGAGAATAATTGATAAATTAAACATTTTTGAAGTACGAAACGAAGAATGATTTATATCGGAGTGCGCATGCCGATTGAACTAAATTCAAATACGAATCGTGATTTTTAACTTTTTTTTTTCAGTCAATGCACTGGGCGCAAATGAACACCAAAGACAGAATGCTTCCGGAAGGCGGTGAAGGTTCTTCGTCGTCCGTGGCGTCCAGGAGGGCGTCCGAAGGTGGAGTGAACTTGGGCGCGAACAAAATAAAATGGGATACCAAGTCGAACGCGGATATTATCAATAAGTTCCGCAACTACGAGATATAAGGGGCGTCAGCAACTAATGCCACGCGAAAATAAAACATTCCTCTGTCCTGAATAACTCTATACAATTATGATTCACTTTAATATTTATAAATGATATAACAATATTTTACTTGTACTGACTCTCGTAAAACTTGTCATGACCCGAAGGACTGAGAAGCGAAACATGGTAAAAAATAATCATAAATAATAATAATATCAGCACTTCAACATCTACAATTATTTAAATACATATTAAATATATTTTACCAATCGATTACGCTTACTTTTATTAATAATAATAAGGGTATAAAAACGAAACGTTTTAGGGTAATATCAAGTGATGATTTTTTTTTTTTTATACATCAATTATTATACTTCTCAGACCTTTGGGTTCACCTTCGAATTTATGGAATCTTCGAGAACTATTTTATTTAGTACCGATTAGGTATTCCAGAATATTTCACTATTGTCTAGTCATTAAAAATTAAACACTATTAGCGCTCTACGCGTGTAACTTTCGAAACCAGTAGGGTGCTGTATGTTACACGATATATAATATACGTAGGGGGTCTGATGTCCGCCTTGAAAAACGTAAAACTATTATTGTCACTTCAAATACATATAATATACATATACATATAATATACACATATATAAAATACTTAGATAACGTCGTATCGTTGTATACACGTGTTACCATTACAACAGTTGATCCATGTACGATGATAGTGTAGGATTACAAAAACTGTCAGCTAATACACAAATCAAAATACGTAATTACCACGCTCCGTAGTATATAGAACGACATCATATTATAATTTACATAACAGGAAAAAACCGTAAAAGTTATACAATTTAATAATTACGTGTGTCAACTAATCTTGCGAGTAACCACTTAGCTTTTTAATCTATATATATATATATTATATAAATTAGAAAACATTATAAAATAATTATACTTGATTGTAATGTAATTTCGAAGTTTCGTTCGTTCTCGAATTTGTATAAAAAAACCAAACATATACATATAAATATGATAATATAATAAACGACTATATTACAACACAAAGATTTTGTTTTTATTTTCCACTGGAAAACGCATTTTTGTCACAGTTTTTTCAACATATCTACTATAAAATAAATATTATTCCCACTACAGCGGTAAGTGTAATATGAGTATCACAATTTTTGACGTTAGATTGTCATCAATTATTGTGTATATTCTGAACTAATACTCCCATGGTATATAACACGCTTATTAAGCATATCTGCTATGATGTATAGCCGAAATTTTAATTGAGGATAACTGGCTGTAGCTATACGGTTATATGTTATGATTTTTAGAATCTGAAGGAACTAGAAAAATCTTATAGAATAAAATTATGTGTATTCAAATCAAGGACTGGAAACGTACCGAAAAGAGCCGGTTTTGGAACCGAAACTCTTTGAGTTTTTGGGGATCAAAATTTCACCGAAACTCTAATTTAAATACATTTTTAAAAACGGAACCTCACTGGAATTCTTATTAGAATTTATTTAAAAACCGTAACTAATACTTTTTTGTAAAAGTTTTTTACGGTTAATTCCGTTTTTTTTATAATTTCATTATTTTTATGTATATATATATGTTACGGTAATAGTACGAATACTGGTGAAACCTAGGTTTTACCTACTGTGATCGATAAATGTCCAAAATTCGGAAATTTACCAATTATTTTCGATAAAACCTATGATATACATTATTGCATGGTCAAACCCCCGAATGATATTAAAAGTTCGGATTTTTACCAAAGAGTTTTGTTAAATCTTAGAATTAACAATCAATGATTATAAAAATCCGAAATAATATATTTTTTCCAATTCTGTGATAATTCTTACTTGTATTTATTCTTGTGCATTTGTGTTGATACCAATAGTTTTAATTTAATTTTTGACTGTGATACGAATTATAATAAAAGTTGTAATCATTGTGTCATCAATAATTATGTTTTGAAACAGATTTAATAGAAGATTAATTTAATAAATTGATATTGGGGCCAATTGCAAAAAATAATTTTACGAGCAGTATTCGTTTTACAATTGTCGCGGTTAGTATTACGAGTATACGCAATATTTAATATGTCACTTACAATACGATTTTATGAAATTTTTAAGTGTTGTGGAGTTAAAAAAATAATTTTTATGTAACCGAGGAAAAATACAATATATCTTTAAGAGAAGTTAAAGTAGCTAAATCTGTTAATGTAAAAAAAACAGTTCACTATCAGCGACTTAAACGGTTTGATATTGTTAATATTACTGGTGAAAAAAAACTGATTGTTCTGATGAATGATGACTTCGAAGTAATGCATTATTATGTTCGATATAATGAGTTATATTACGCTCATATTACAACAGGCCATGTAGGTAGATACCGTATTATGTATGGAGTTAATAGCATATACGAAAATTTTAACATTGAGTCAATTTATATAGGTAAGAATTATCACAGAATTGGAAAAAATATATAATTTCGGACTTTTACAATCATTGATTGTTAATCCTAAGATTTACTAAAACTCGTTGGTAAAAGCCCGAACTGCTAAAATCATTCGGGGTTTGACCAAGCAATAATGTATGTCCTAGGTTTTACCGGTAAATCCTAGGTTTCACCAGTATTCGTACTATTACCGTAACATATATATATACGAGTATATGTACACATATCATTAGTAAGTAATAATAACTGAATATTACGTAGATATATTATTATTATTGAGATTTACAACATTCAAAAATTATCGTTCAATTACCTACAGAATTTAGACTTCTGAACATATATTTTTAAGTTAAACCTAGGGTATAAAATGAGAGATCGCAAGGGGGCTCAGTCCCCCTATTTCTCCCAGTGCTTATAAAGTGTTAGTAATGGCTCATTATTCGCAATCAATGTCGTTATACTATTTTTCTTGTCCCTAATCACGGTTATATAAGTTAGTAACCGAGCGATCCGATGGTCTGAAATTAAATTGTATAAATCCTCAAAAATCATCAACACTAATGCTTCATTATATATATATATATATATATGTATATATGGCATGAAATTTATACTTTGATATTGATTTGTTTGTTTCACTCTAGTTAGTATGTCTTCAGTGATGTCGTTCTCATATTTTTCTCAAAAAGCCGATAATTGTGTTGGATAACTTCTCATCAAAATAGTTTCAAACAGTTAACGAATATTATTCGATGTGCATATTAACTCTAAATCAGCAAGTGTTAGGTCCCAATGAATGTCGTCTTCCACCAATTGCAACTCGCGACATGCATCTTGATGTGTTTTAGCATTCGGCTATTAACTATTAACTATTTATCGGCTATTATTATTTATGTTCGCAAACATTCGAAAGACAATGGTCTGGAAACATTCACCAACAACAAACGCAAAAAGAATCATACATAGTCGTACGCAAATTTTGCAATTAGATGCTGTATTAAGGAATACTTTTAGCAAAATTTTCGCCAATACATATATTATTTATCAGCACCAAACATTTTAAACATAAAATCATATCTGGGTTAACAGGTAATCTATTAACTTTGTAATCGTATTACGAATACGCATAATACTAGATTATTTTTTCTCTGTCAAATAACTTAAAATTGTTTATATAGAAGTACGTCCTTAAAAAAAAAATCTGGTGTCTCAGAAAAAACAAATTCAAACTACATTCAATCTTGTAAAGTACTTGAGTAAAAGTATTTGAATACAGTTTTGAAAGTATCTGTATTTAAAATCAAATAGTATTTTTAAATACTTTTTTCGTTTTACTTTATAAACAGGACACCAAATTTAAATAAAATAATACAAATTGTTCAACATTTTTATTTATAGATTGTTTATCGCCGTTGTATATTAGTATATTGTAATATTTATAGACACATACAAATTTAAAAATACAGTCCGTCAATTTCCTAATAAAAATGGAAATACCTTTACTCTAATACAACGGTTCCCAAAGTGTGCGCCGCGGCGCCCTGGTGCGTCGCGATGTCTGTACTGGGGCGCCGCGTTGTCATGAAATATTATCTGGTCTAAAATTTTCCTTATGATTAGTCATGCTATGGCTTGGTAAAGGGCGTCCTAAAAAAACCTAGATTAAGAAGGATGCCGTGAGCCTAAAAAGGTTGGGAAGCACTGCTCTAATAATTATATACGTATAAAAATAAAGCAAACCAATATTCGATGGGACGATTGTTAATATATTTTATCTATACACTATACACCCAACCCGCATTCGGTTATTCCTGGTAAACCATCTTCGCGTTATCGCAGGATATATTTGAATAACATTGTAACCTTGTTAGTATTAAGTATTAACTGTATTATGATTTAAACATTCACATTAAGGGTAAGTTCACATGGAGAGCGTTAAATGCGCGTTAGCCAAACGCGCGTTTTTTAGTTAGTGTTCACATGAGAGGCGTTAAACGCGCGACGACATTGACCGTATGATATAAATTTATACATAGGTACAAAATATTTTAATAATTATATTAATTTTTAGTAGTAAATAGATGTACAACAATGTATATAAAACTTTATTTTAAAAACAAACAATATGTATTTTTTTTTTTAATAATAGTTTTAAATAATTAATTTATGTATAGAATTTTTTTCCAAAAAACAATATGAAACAAAATAAATTATGTCTATATTATATATTTAATTGATTTTAAATTTTATATCAAATTATAAAATACAAAATAATTAATAATACTTACCATGGAATTTTTTTCTTTCTTCCGTGTCACTTGGGTCACTAAAAATTAGAACAATTTCTTCCCAGGCCTTTCTTTTACTGATTTTATTTGAATATTCACTACTTGTCATATCCTAAATTGGGGGTCTTTTTTCAATTTCGTCAATGAATAAATCGGTATCAAATTCCTCACTATCTATTTTTGATTTTTTAGAAATCTTTTTCGAAAAAACAAATGAAAATAACGAAAAACAAGAACCTAACGCTTCAAAACGCGCGTTGCAACTGAACACGTCAATGCAAAACTGTACAATGTTCAAACACGCGTCAACTTACGCTGACGCGCGTTGACAGGTTTTTTGCGTTGTCGCTGCGTTGCCATACAACGCGCGTTACCATGTGTACAGTTAATAGCTATTAATAGTAATTGTAAACGCGCGTTTGGCTAACGCGCATTTAACGCCTCTCATGTGAACTAGCCCTAATAGGCATTTTTCATTTGTGTATCGACGTGTACTGTACTACAGTGTGTGAACTAACTTAAAAGTTAATAAAATATTAACTTAATAACTGAATACATAATTTGTATCGTACCTACTGGTTTTATAATATTTTTAATACAATATTTAATATTTAATTTAATTCAATAATTATCGTTATTAATCAATTATAAATAATAATGAATAAAATATTGGAGGAAACCGTGGAACGCACTGTTCAAATTCAGAACCAATTGTAAATATGAAATAGACAAAGTACTTCCACTATTATTAAATAATAAATATTAATAACCTTAGTTATTAGGGTACCTTTTACTTTGATTTTTTTTAATAACATGTATCATTCTGTATTAATAATTGTAAAGGACTTATCCCATTCCGGATGCCTAATTATTGTATGTAGGATACTGTATTTATTTAATTATTATTTATTAAAACTTATGAATAGTTAGGATTATATTATATTTTATAATACCTACAGAAAGTACAAATGAACAATTTTTCGCCAGTACAATATTCTACTCAAGATAAATAATAATATTTTATATTATATTGTGTTATTTATATACATGTCATATAGTATGTAACTATAAAATATTTCTACATAGGTACCAAATTTTTCTTTAAAGATCTTATTAATCATGTACATAAATAGGATAAATCAGTTAAATACATTTTTACATTCAAGTTTAAAAGAGCTATTTAAAAAATAATTTTAGTACTTAGATATTTGTTATGACTTATATTGTTATGACTTATGAAGAATATTGTATTATTATTTATAATTAGCATACACAATCATATTACAATGTAGGATTTGTGTA